AACTAATAATATTTTATACTGAATGAGCTCAAATTACAAGAAAAATGTGGCTGATTGATAAGATTTTTTTTAAACTGATGAGTTCGATTTTACAATAAATATATTATCTGATTTATTTTTAGCAATGTTTTAATAATGAATCTATTCAATTTAATAATAGTGTGAACTGTTTAGTCTCAGTTGAATCATACACATTTCAAAAACAAATATGCAGTACTGAGTGTAAGTTATAAAAGCATTACTTTATATAAGTTTTGACATCCAATAGTGAAAATTATGATTTCCAAAGAATGCACTCTTGAAAATTATCCATTAACTAGGGGAATCAGATTTGATATTTCTCGCATGTATTTGATAATCATTGATGTAAGAAAAATGGGGTAACTTGTTTAAGCGAATTTTAAGTACTAAAATGCATCAAAATGCAGGATTTTGGGTGCCGCCCCCCCCCTTACTTGGCTTCGATTATTTTCAGGATTTTTAGGAAAGGGACACTTTTATCTCTATAGCAATAAGCCGTTAATATCAAAAATGAGCCATGCAAAGTTGGATTCCATATTGACCATATTAAATTTCTGAATCTTGAGTCCCCCACTTGTTTGCTGTATGCAGAAAATGGGTGTTCATGAGTTGCATGTTGTCATGACATGGAGCATTTTCAACAGGAGGTCTTAGGGGGTGGATTAGCTGTGCTCTTTTTCTTTATTATTGGTCACAAAGTTTCAAGGTACTTTTCTTCATAGTTTGAACTGTAAAACATTTCACATTTATTTTCTGTGTTTATTTTACTGTCAATGACTGAAGTAGAAATCTGTTGAAAATAAAGCAACAAATCACTACTTGGGTCATTCGACTGTTAATGTGACACTATAATATGACACTCTTGAGAGCAATAAAGCAACATATCACTGCTTGGGTCATTCGACTGTTAATGTGACACTATAATATGACACTCTTGAGAGCAATAAAGCAACATATCACTGCTTGGGTCATTCGACTGTTAATGTGACACTATAATATGACACTCTTGAGAGCAATAAAGCAACATATCACTGCTTGGGTCATTCGACTGTTAATGTGACACTATAATATGACACTCTTGAGAGCAATAAAGCAACATATCACTGCTTGGGTCATTCGACTGTTAATGTGACACTCTTGAGAGCAATAAAGCAACATATCACTGCTTGGGTCATTCGACTGTTAATGTGACACTATAATGTGACACTCTTGAGAGCAATAAAGCAACAAATCACTGCTTGGGTCATTCGACTGTTAATGTGACACTATAATGTGACACTCTTGAGAGCAATAAAGCAACAAATCACTGCTTGGGTCATTTGACTGTTAATGTGACACTACAATGTGACACTCTTGAGAGCAATAAAGCAACAAATCACTGCTTGGGTCATTCGACTGTTAATGTGACACTCTTGAGAGCAATAAAGCACACACCGACTTGACCAATGCTACTAGAACATGATGTGGAATTTATCAGCTTATGTATCCTACAGTGCTTACAATGAGAATTCTCCAGTGTAATAAAATTGTGCTTTGAATCTGTGGAAACATTTATCACACTATATGGTTTGGAGCTGATCCAATAAACATCGCAAGTGTTTGAATATTGGTCATCATTCTGGGATGTTTGGAATTTATCAGTATATCGTACAGACATACAAAGATAACTGCCCGCTTTAGTGAATGCTCGCATAGAGAACAAGACTAAAGACACAGCCCTTCATCTGGAATATTGAGGCACCCGTTCTTGCAAGATTTATTTTGGTTACAAATAGTAGAAAAAAAGAATGAGACTGAAAAAGTCTGCCATTAATGGCATGGTGCCTGTACTTTGAGTTTTGATTGTACGCTATAGTCTATGATACTCACAAGTGTTCATTTCTGAATGCTGTAATTTTACAGAAAAATTAAACATTTAAAATTTTCAAAGAAATTGTTCAGTTTTGTTCCCCTATAATGGCTCATTTTAAAGATATAATGATTTCAAGTATTTTTTTTATAATAATATGATGCAAGAAGGCATATGTCCATTGTTTCTATTTATGGTTTTACGAAAGAGTATGGTTGAGTGTGTGATGTAATAGTTTTACGAGAGAGGGATAATAAACTGGCTAGCTTACCTTCCCTGTTGCCATATCATCAGGACTTTATCATCTCCACCTGAAGCCAAGTACTTTCCATTCCCAGACCACCTCACACAGTTTACACATGCTGAAAGATAAGTGTATCGATGCGAGTTTTCAATACACACATTGATTGCAAAGTCCAAATTTTAACGTTTTTATGTTTACTTCTATATATACTATATTACTCACTGCTCTACTTGCACAACAGCTATCTTAAGCCATCATTTTACTTCGGTTAGAATATTTGTTTGCTGAAATACACACACACAAACACCAAGTTCTGCTCTGCCTTATTCACTTCTATTTAGAAAAAACCTTTACTAAGCATGCACATGTTAAATACCTAAGTTATATAAAGTATAAATATCAGTAATAGTAAACTAAATATAAGCTTTAAAGTTATTGTGGACATAAAAGTCTTTAGCCATTAGAAATGTAACTAATCAACTTGACTGAAGTTATCATTAAAATCTGCGGGACAAGTTATTCAATACATCATGATCTCAGTACAGACTTTGGTGATTAGGCTTAACAACTATTCATCACATCATGATCACAGTACGGACTTTGGTGATTAGGCTTAACAACTACTCATCACATCATGATCACAGTACAGACTTTGGTGATTAGGCTTAACAGTTATTCAACATATCACGAATGCAGTACACGTCATGGTGACTATCTTAACAGCTATTCATCATATCATAATCGCACTATAGGCCTGGTGATTAGGCTTAGCAACTATTCATCATATCATAATCGCACTACAGACCTGGTGATTCGGCTTAACAGCTATCAATCATATCAGGTTAACAGTACAAACCTTGTTGATTATGCTTTTGGGCGTTCAATACCGTAAAATCAAATAATATCATGAAGTTATTAAATTTTAATGATTGACTGTATATAATTTTAATCGAGACAAGATATAATAATAACATAACCAGTCACATTGTGCTGGTTTTTGTTATTCAGCCATGTATCAAGAACAAAGCTTCTCTCTCTAAGCCTTTTTTTAAAGTCTTGGATAGTTTACTATACAGAGATGTCATTTGGATGCAGGGTGCCCTTAATTTTGAGGTTCTACTGTACTAATCACCGACTCCAACTTCTCCACCTTGAGGACATGATACCAAATTTCACTTAAAATTAGGCACGGCAAAAATGTCAAAATCATCCATCCTTGGAAGAAAAGTTTTTTATTTTGATATTTTAACCCATTAACTGCAGCTTCTCTAAATGCATGCTGAAGTTTTCAAGCTGTACACCATATATGGCACACTCGCATTCAACTGCCGGAGGCAAACTGTGCCATATATACCAAATCGGCAATCAATGGGTTAAATAGATGTGTCAATCCTTAGGACAAAAATCCAAGAAATTTTCGTGTGCAATAGATTTAATGACAGCTTTGATTTATTTATCTGATATAGATGAGGATATTACAACTGGAATAAATGCACTGTTGCAAATAACCTTACACTTACTTTTAATCTTACCTACCTATGATTAACAGTCGTTGAATAACTAATTTCATCGCACTGTCAATAATGTGATTACCACCTTGCATGGCCCAAATTGATAGAGTGCCTAGCTGAATCTAAGCATTCCAGAATTCCCAATTAGCCAGTGACTGTGCTGGTCAAATTCTTTTGATCATGCATTAAATATAAACCAAAATATGGATCAATTTACCCTGACTTTTCTACTGTTTCAAATTTCTTTTGAAAATTTGCAATTGTATATTTCGGTTTAATTTTTCCAAAAATCTTTTTCTGCCATATTATCTTATCGTTGGTTTTGGCAAAGTGGCAAATAGGGTGGACAAGCTTCGAGATTCACAGTACTATATAATTTTGCCTCATGCTTACTTAAGATCCCCAATATTTTAATTTATTTTCAACTTGTGTAGTTTCATATTACAATCTGAAGTCATTCTAAAAAGAAAAAAAGGGTAATTTTGATTTTTTTTTTTGGTGATGACAAGGTCAGTCAAACCTTGTATACAGAGTAGGGTTAGGGTAGAGAAAATAACAGATAAAATTTAATTTTTGTGGAAAAAATAATGTTTTATAATTATTTAGTAGGTTTTAGAGGTTACACAAATGAGATTTGAAAATTTCAGGTGAATAAAAGTATTTTTTAATCTTAACATCAAAAACTCTGCACTTGGACTAGTAAATAAAATAGACAAATCTTTATTAAAAATACATAATCAAAAAATCTAATTTTATGTGTACGAGTCTTGTAACGTTTACCAAAAGTCTGCCAAATTTTGTGAAAATACAGCTGGTGAATTAAAAGCTATAGTACGGAAACTGTAACGAGTATGAACTTGGTTGTTTTGACGTAGCCCATTTGGAAAGGGTTAAGTAGTTCATACATTACTATTCTTAAATTTAAGTAACTTTCAGAAAAAATAAATAAGCAGATCAATTAAAATAAATTACAATAACAGATGTTTAAAGCTTAGATATGTACATAGTATAGTACCCACCAATATATATATATATATAATATTCTACATTTAAAATGCAAGTAGGATGTATATCAAAAATACATAACATACACATAAAGTTTATAACATAAAGGATATCAAACTTGCAAATGAGAAGCCTGGATTTAATCTATTAATGTTAATGGTATTTTTAAATATAAATTCCACATGTCTGAAAGCAAAACCAGGTTTTGAGATTTGACTTATCCCTCAGATTATTGATTTTATTTACCATTCACTACCAGTGTGGATATACATACTGCACCATACTAAGTACTTTACGTTTTGGCATTTAAAAAAGTCAGTGTAAATAACTGACAAAAATACTTGATTAAGTCACTCATTTTTCTGTGTACGATATACAAGGGACCCCATAATTAGTGGAACTAACAGAAATATTGATGGAGACCATGGACTCCATTGGCAATTTTAGGGTTAACATAGTTTCAATATATATATTGAGAAATATAAATTCTTGAAAGTACTTATTTTTAACCACTGCAAGATCAGTGATCAAAAATCACTATCAGAGTTAAGAATTCAAATACTTTTTCATAGAAAAACAAAACAAAAAGGGTTTTTTTCAGATCAGTGGGGTAAACAACAAAAAAATCAAACATTTACATTTTGTCTGGAAAGGGTTCTATTGTATACAAAAAAGATATTTGTGTATGTAAGTAACATGATTATAAAGTCATTTTAGCATGTTTGATCACTCTTACAAATTTCATGTACATTATGATTCTATTTGAATATTTTGAATAAAGAGTATTACTTCTGAAAATAAAAAACAACAGCCTGTGACTGAAAGAAGCAAAAAAAATCTGCCAGAATTTCCTCATCATTTATCGTAACGCCAAATCCATTCTTCCAAGTTATCAAAATAGTTTTAACAGAAAAATATCTTCATGCAGTACTTCGTGATCTATCAAAATAATTAAGCAATGTGAAACCTAAATAGATTTAAACAGTATACATATGTTTATATTAGATTTTATTGTTTTATTGCCCTTTGAATAGTGTGTAACTTAATATTCCCACCATACAGTTTATAAATCAGTTGGCAGTGTGAGCTCATGTAACCCTATTAAATTACATAATGCACAGACTACTTGTGAAAGTTTTTATTATTATTTTTCTTTATTTGACCTTATCTGACATGAAAAGTTTCTTACATTTTAGTTATTTATATAATAATCAGTAAAGAATACGCATGAAAAACAAGAAATAAAGTACTTACCTGGGTCTTCTTCTTGACTGTCAATGACAGTTAACCCTCCTTTATATTACTAATGGTAGTAATGTACTTAGTTATTGTTATTGCACCAAAGAACACAGAGTAGGTACATGCAAAAGGCAGACAATGCCCTTAACTATCCCAGTTTTTCTGGCTTCCTAACTATGCGACAAGAACCGTTAAAAATTCAGCTAAGATTGTCTTCCCGTGGGAAGAAAGTTTGAACTGGAAGAGAAATAGGCAATTTTCTGTACAGAAGACAGTGTAATATAATACCTCATTTGATAGATTAAAACCTTGGATTTCTGTTGGTTATAACATAATGTTTTGGGACAACATGGGACCTATTGGTCCATCTTGGCTGTTCTATCCTCTAAACTAAACTAAAACTATTAATCAACAAATTAAAAAAAATCTTAAAGCCAGCCCTTATCATTCATATACTTATCAAGCTTTCTCTGAAACTTGCTTAAATTTATTGCCTCCACAACATCTAAAGGCAACCCATTCCAAAGGCCAACCCCCCTGTTAGAAAAATAA